GGTGAGATGATGTTTGATTTCATGACTGCTGCTTCCATAAGAGTTGGTTGTGGATCCAAGCAAAATGAAGTCTTCGACAACTCCAATCTTTTCTCTATTTATCAGGATGGCAGATCAGGTAGACGTGCAGTGAGGAGCTCTGTAAGCAACAACACAGAATACCGGACCAAGCAGGCTCAGGGGATGGTGCTAGAACTCTGAACCACATATAAACGAATATTTAGAAGCTAGGAAGGCTTACAGCTAGGGGAATTTGTAGCAGAATCATCAAACCCATTGCTTTCTAATTCAAAACACCAGCTGCTCCTGAAGCCGCCATCTTGGGAGAGACCAAGTGGGGGAAGGATCAGAACAGCCACAAACACCTGACAGAACCACGAAGATACAGATACGGATATTTATTTTTTTTTGGTAACTGTTCATTGGTCTCTTGCTGTCTGAGCACCTCCATTCTGGTGACTAGAGGGGATGCCTGAGGGAATGGACACCCCACGCCCACCCCTGGAGGGTTCTACTACACATGCGCACAGATCTCTTCGAAATTTAAAGGGGCAGTTTCCACTTAAAACCAAACAGCCACCACTCGTCTGTCAGCTTGTCGTACTACGGTGGTTTGTGAGTTGCTGTGATTCTGGAAGGTATGCCACCGGTATTTTAAATACCAGCAGGGTCACCCATGGTGGACAGGTTTCAGATGAACTACCAGACAAAGAAAGAATAGGAAGAAAGAGTGACAAACTATTTCCCAAAATTTAGTCACTGAAAACCTTATGAATAGCAGAGAAACACTATCAGATATAGTGCCAGAAAATGAGCCACTCAGGTTGGAAAGCACTCAAAATGCAACTGGATAAGAGCTGCCTCCACAGAGTAGAGTTGACCGTGATGATGCGAATGGGAAAAAAGCCCACGGGACCTTCATTTGTTGATGGAGCACAACTCAAAATGAAAAGAAACACTGTAAACATCCATTGATAAATGGAACATGGAATGTACAAAGTATGAATTTAGGAAAATTAGAAATTGTAAAAAATGAAATGGAATGCATAAACATCGATATCTTAGGCGTTAGTAAGCTGAAATGGACTGGTATTGGCCATTTGGAATCTGACAACCACATGGTTTACTATGCCAGGAATAACAAATTGAAGAGGAATGGTGTTGCATTCATTGTCAAAAAGAACATATCCAGATCAGTCATGAGGTATAACGCTGTCTGTGATAGGACAATATCCATGTGCCTATAGGGAAGATCAGTTTAATACTATAACTGGTCGCTATGAGTTGGAACCGACTCCACGGCACATAACAACAACAACAGGGAAGCCCAGTTAATACCACTATTATTCAAATTTATACACTAACCACTAAAGCCAGTGAGGATGAAATAGAAGAATTCTACCAATTTCTTCAATCTGAAATAGATCAAACATGCAATTAAGATGTATTGATCATTACTGGTGATTGGAATGCAAAGGTTGGGAGCAAAGAGGAAGGATCAGTAGTTGGAAAATATGGCCTTGGTGATAGAAATGATGCTAGAGAATGCATGACAGAATTCTGCAAAACCAATGATTTGTTCATTTCAAGTACCTTCTTTAGACAGCATAAGAAACAACTATACACATGGAACTCACCAGATGGAAAACATAGAAATCAAACTGACTACATCTGAGGAAAGAGACGATGGAAAAGCTCCATATGATCAGTGAAAATAAGGCCATGGGCAGACTGTGGAACAGACCATCAATTACTCGTATGCTCAAAATCAGACCTGAATTGCTCAAATTCAGATTGAAGCTGAAGAAAATGAAAACAAGTCCACAAGAACCAAAATATGACCTTGAATATATCCCGCCTGAATTTAGAGATCATCTGAAGAACAGATCTGATACATTAAACACTAAAGACAGAAGACCAGAAGAGTTCTGGCATGACATCAAGAATACCATACATGAAGAAAGTAAAAAGTCATTGAGAAGACAAGAAAGAAGGAATAGGTCAAAATGGATGTCAGAAGAGACACTGACACTTGCTCTCTAGTATAAAGATGCTAAAACAAAAGGAAGAAATGAGGAGGTCCAAGAGCTGAACAGAAAATTTCAAAGATCAGCTAGCGAAGATAAAGCCAAATATTACAACAAAATGTGCAAAGATCTGGAATCAGAAAACCAAAAAGGAAGAAAACAAGTTCAGCATTTTGATCAAGCTGGGGGAACTGAATGATGCAGAAAGCATCAAGAGAAGATGGAAGGAATACACAGAATCACTGTACCAAAAAGAAATGGTTAATGTTCAACCATCTCAAAAGGTAGCATATGATCAAGAGCCAATGATACTGAAGGAGGAAGTCCAAGGTGCTTTGAAGGAATTGGCAAAGAACAAGGCACCAGGAATAGATGGAATCAAAACTGAAATCTTTCAAGAAAGTGAGACAGCACAGGTGGCAGTCACTCATGTCTGCCAAGAAATTTGGAAGACAACTATCTGGCCAACTGATTGGAAGAGATCAATATTTGTGCCCATTCCAAAGAGAGGTGACCCAATGGAATGTGGAAATCATCGGACAATCTCTTTGATATCCCTTCAAGTAAAGTTTTGCTAAAAGTAATACAGAAATGGCTACAATCATATGTTGACAGAGAACTTCTAGAGGTTCAAGCCAGATTCAGAAGAGGCCTTGGAATGAGGGATATCGTTGCTGATGTCCGATGGATCTTGGCTGAA